AAACCTACGTTCCGCTGAATACTATCATGCACAATGATTACTGATTGCAACTTCATGTGTTCCTTTCTGAATCATTAAATTGACATATTTTAATATGCTTTATCTTTTATGGTATATTTCTTTAAAGAATATGGCATGTTAAACATTGCAAAATTCAATAAATCTATTCTATGGTGTATATCAAATATTTATATTGTATAACTCTAATTTCATATTCTATACCATAATATTTATTCTATCCTACTGAATACTTGTTGATCATAAAAGATAGTTTTTTTTATATGAATGTTCTATATTTGAAATATATATTGTGTTAAAAAATATTTATTGGATACTGAAACATATTTATTCGATAATTTTAATCATGGGATAGAATCACAATTTTCTAACACTTAGCATATTAGGCCCCACCTATACATAAAGTACGAATTTCTGATAAAGCAATATTTTTAAACGTGGCAATAGTGTAGTGGAAGTGATCAGTGTCCCTCTGAATGTCACTTGTAAATAATGCATATGCATCGTCGCAGCATCGAAATGGCATCGCAAAGAACGCTGACTAACGGCGCGCTTTTTGAGCATGCTCAAAACAAACGAGGTCATTCGATGTTGTGTTAAGAGCGTTGTGGGATTGCAGTAAAGAAACCGTAACAACTCGGAAGCATCTTCGACAACGCAACAGGAGCGCCATGTAAGCGCAGAACGACCGTGGTTAGTCACGGTGCTTGTACGAAGATTGTGCGGCGTCTCTACCCCGCTTATACTGCGTGTATATGGCGCTTTTACGGCGCTTTATTTTTCTGAAACGCTCTTACTGCGAGGTCATGGTACTGTTATGGCGACGACTGAAATTGCAGAATACTGTACAGTAGAATCCCTACTTAAGACCATCCCGAGATAAAGGCCATACCTATATTTAGACTAATTCTTAAAATAACGTCATTTTCTGTTCTTTATGTTAATGGAAACATAACTATTTAAACATGTGTATACATAATAATTCAAAAAGAGTGGTCATGAAATATATGTTCCTTGATAATTATATCCACAATAAAGACAACCCGAAATTAAGACCACTTAAGTCTAATCACTTTGGTGGTCGTAACAGAGGGTTTTCACTGTATATATAAATTTGTTTGCAAGTAAATGAATTTTCAACATGAATGATGAACTGCAACAAGCTGGAATATTGCTTGTGTCCTTGTAGGAGGTACAGGACCCTTCAGAAAAAGTAATCGCTAGTATATTAAGCAAGATTACAGCGCAATGAGAGCGCCGTGACAGTGTCATGTGAGCACAGTGGAAGCGCAAAGAACGCAGAAGAAGCGCAGTACGAAAGCAGACAATCGCCAATCAAAATGCCGTAAGAACGCACTACAACGCCGTAGCAACGCTATGATCGCCATAAGGACGCCGTGAAGGCGCCGTGAAGTTTCCATGTTATCATGATATCAGATTTTTCTTGCGATCTTGCAGCGCTTTGTTGAATTTAACAACGCCGTGCAAACGCAGTAAAAGCGCCGTCTAGTGTGACAGGGCCTTAAGGTTAGATAAGGGGATAAGGTAGTTTTCGATGATCACTCTGAAAAAAATAATCTCCTAGATTTATTATATTACTTAAGAACTAAAGTTATGAACAGCTATATCAGCTTGCATGAACCATGCACACATATTCAAAATAAAAAAGAGCATGATCCACTGGTCATCTAACGTGATACCCTAAATAAGTTCAATGTGAACTAAAGTATATAAACAACGTTCGAGTCTACCAAGAACTCCTCATACATAATTTAAAAATTAATCGAGCATGTACATCTAAATAAGCCGCTGGTCATCTATTATGATTCCTATATACACGTTATTTAATTCTTGAGTATTTGTACACTGAGATGATCCGCTAGAAATCTAACGTGATCTATTCATACATGTTTGAACAGAATCTGATCCCTAATCAGCTATGTGATCCCACCATCAATGTTCTATAAAACTAGAGTACAGACACATTTTTATAATCATATGTTCATTTTAAGTGATTACCTCATACATGTCCATTACTGTATAGAGGTTATGTACATCAAGATTGTTCCCTGATCATCTTACTAGTTACATCGTTACATCTGTTCAAGAGGAAGAGTACATGTACACCTAGATACGGTGGCACAAAGGCGACATTTATCTCGTGCGGACGAGATACTATGTCGTGGCAACGACTTACTTGTCTTGGCCACGAGAAAGCTAAGTCGTGGCCACGAGATACTTTGTCGTGGCCACGAGTTAGTAAGTGGTGGCCACGAGATAGCTAAGTCGTGGTCACGAGATACTATGTCGTGGCCACGGGATACTACGTCGTGGCCACGAGATACTATGTCGTGGCCACGAGATACTAAGTCGTGGCCACGAGATAAATAACAAATCAGATTACACCACTTATATGAATTTCCCTAATTGACTAGATATATGCGATAGTACAAGGATGCCCCTACTTCACCAGCCTGTAAATGTGCCATTAATACAACTTATTGACTAATCAATTATTTTACATTTAGCGTCATTGTGACTCTGATTTTTGACCCAATGACTTCGAAATTATAAGATGGCATCTACTGATCAGGAGCAATGATCTTTCTGGGTTATATAAACCATGGCTTATCCCTTCTTAATTATTCATCAGAAAAGGATTTTACATGAAGTGTCCTGGTAACATTAATCCTTGACCTCAAACATCCTTATAGGCTATCTTCTGTCCATGGGCAATGTCCCTTTCCAAATAAAATAAACCAGGAATTATTCATTCTCATGCTATCTCATAAACATAGTTAACAGGCCGTAGTACGTACAAATTGACCTATTCGATCACAAAAAGGCTAAAGCCAAAATTAATGTCTAGTGGGCCTTGGAAGATGACATTCTCTTGTAATTTTGTTGTGATTAATGCTTCGGAGGGATCACTTTTTTTCCAGAATTAATTTTCTAATATGATCCTAAAGACAAGTTCAAAGTGAATATCTTGAGTATTTTCAAATATTAATGTTGCATGTAAAAGTAAGTTTTAAAGTTTAAAAAATTCATAATATATAGTGTATTTTTGGTTGGTTAATTATCTCGTGCGCACGACTTAAATATCTCGTGGCCACGACTTAGTAACACTTGGACACGACATAGTATCTCGTGGCCACGACATAGCTATCTCGTGGCCACGACTTAGCTATCTCGTGGCCCTACTTAGGAACGCATGACCACGACATAGTATCTCGTTGCCACGACTTAGTAACTGGTGGCCACTACATAGTATCTCGTGTGCACGAGATAAATAAAAACACACACATGTCACCTTTGTGCCACCTTACTTAGACGATCCTCCGGTCATATTACATGGTGGCATCATGAATGTTCCAAAATAAATAGAATATATTTACATGTAAGGGATCCCTAGTCCTCTTACGTGCTCCTTTTATACAAGTTCAACGAAATATAGAGTATATTTACTTGATCACCTGGCCGTCTTATGTAATCCCCTTATACATGTACATTAATGAAAAGAACTAAAATATCTTTATAAAAATGAAACATTGGACATTACTTATAATCCCTTGATATATGACTCATTTACGTGGTTTTTGTAGATAGATGTACATGGAAATTATAACTTAGTCATCTAACGTGATCCCTTCATATATGTTTCATAATAATAGGGTATGCTATCATAATTATACATCAGATTCTTGGGTTATTTAATCTGATCCCAACATATCCTTTTCCGTAAGAAATAAGAGTCCATGTATATCTTATGTCCCCCTGATAGTCTTAAGTGATCCTCTAATACATACTCCACAGTGAATAGAGTAAATGTACATCGACACGATCGCCTGATTGTCTTACATGATCCTCATACAAACTCCATATTATATAAGAGTATATACATAACATATTACATAAAAATATTCGCAAATACATGTTTAATTATATCAACACATTTTGTTTAAGCATTCTTAAATTTTTTTTTTTTTTTTTTAAGAAAATTGATTTTTGTTTTTTTCTTATAGAACATGTCTTTGTAAAAACATTTACAGAATTATATTCCAGATATCAAAGTCTACAATTTCACACTGCGCTGATTTATATGTTTAATATGCTCATTAATATGCCCCCGCTGTTTGCTTAAGTCCACTGACCAACAATAGCCAATGCGGTGTGTACTCAATTTGCTTGGTAGATATTGAAAAAGGATATTAACAAAATAATTAACAAATATTAGAAACAAGCAGTTAAATAGTTAAAATTTTCATAAGAAATTGACGTATATTATATAATTAATTTCATTTTATTCATTATCATCATTGACAAGTTTACATTCATTCAATTTTACATAAGGGGAGATAGTTGTCCTATATGTACTTCCCTACAATATAGTGAACATTTAAAGAAAAGAAACGACTATAAATAAGAAGTGCCTGTACAGTATGGGGAATATCGCGATTTTGGTTAATTATAATGATGAGGTTGAGGATGACGATGATTAATGTTGATTCGGATAATGATTTACATGACAATGACTTTGATAGTAATAATAATGACGACTTCGGTGGTTTTGATTATGATTGATGATTGAAACAATGATTGCGATACATATATTGATGATTGAAATAATGATGAGAATATTAATGAAATTATAATAATGATATTTTAGACAAAGGTGATAGATGATAAGGAGCAATAGAATGATTATGCTTTTCAGTTAAGAAAATTCCAACTGAATGATTTTGATGAAGAATGATATTATGATGAGGACCCTTTTTAATTGGAATTTCACATTATGGATAACAATACCTTTTCTGCTTTTCACTTATTTAACTGAAAATTCTGTATTTGTGTACAAAATTGTTAAATATCACAAAAATATTTATAAAGTTCTTATTAAAGGACGGACGTGTATATCATTGTATTTTCTTTCTTCAAGGGTTCTGTATGACTGACAATTAAAAGCAGGATAAAATTAAACAATGGAGAAGCCGTCACCGGTAAACTTGATTTCTGTTAATATATATTTTAATTTTAAATAGTTCTCAGATTATATAGAAAATCGTATGATTACAAACTTCGCTATATCTTTTATATCTTTATACACTAACATCTTTATATATGTTTTTCTTACATTTATGGTATGAACTGCATTGTGATAACTTTATAATAAACACTTCGAGTTGACGCATGTCAGAATTACCATGAAAAGAATATAAGTTCGATACTTTGATGTGATGTTGCTTTTATAAAATATAGAAAAATGACTAAATCAAATTCATTATGCAACCAAAGTCGCCAAAATTTTCAAACAGAATCCTAAATATTATTTAAAAACAATATATTATTATTCACGTTACAGAAGAAATATGAGATAACTAGGGGACATGAATATTACCTTAGTCATATATCATTATTGGAACAAGCTTCGCCCATCGCATTGAAGAACATTATAAAACGAGAAGAGGAAAAATGTGGTAACGGTATACGTGATTTGTTAAATGAGAATAGACATACAATCAAAGCACAGTACGAAACAGAGTATTTTCAATTATTTCAAGAAGATAATGTCAATGACGATATTGATACGTGGGGCACACTTCAATTATGTGCTGTGACATTAGTTTTGTTTAAATCTGATCTAACTGAACCAGAAGTTAAAGCCATTCAATGTATATACGATCAGAGACAAGATCTTGAACAGTACACCAAATGTGCCTCCCTAACATTCAAAACCTACAACAAAAAACAACATCTATTGCACCATCATTTACTCCAGTTGATAACGTCCATAGACCGAAACGCTAAACATAATTGTATATGTGTGATGTATTCGTTTCAACCTGAATCGATGAATTTAAGCGAAAGGCTGATATACAAACTAACAAGTACACAAGATGCCAAAACTCATCTTCAAGTTGCTATTGAAGTAAATTTCGTGACACAGAATACATGTACTGGTGAGGAGAACACACAAGTGCTTCAGGCAAATGGTAAGCATGAACATTTATTCATATGTTTGTAATGCATCCAATTACATAACTTCATCTGTAACTTGTCAATATGCATATATCTTACGCTTTTGCAAAATTGTAAGTTTGAGTTATGTCTGCATCGAATATCAAAATACTTAATATTTTATATTTTAAATTTCTATTTGGTATGATCCGAACTGATAAGATTCATAGACAATCAAACAATATACTGAATCTTCTATAAATTGATCTGGAGTATCTACGAATTATTTTTTCTTGTTGTCTTATTAGCTCACCAGAGCCGAAGGCTCAGGGTGAGCTATTAGTATCAAAGGGGGATGCTCTGGCGTCATGCGTCAACAATCGTCTTCTTCTCTGAAACTACTGGGCAGATTTACTTCAAATTTGGTCTGTAGCATCCTTGTGACATTCACACTTGAATTTGCTCATGTCATTCCAATTGGCCCCTTGTAGGGGTCAGCAGAGCTAAAAATAGAAAAACCTTTAAACATCTTCTTCTACAGAACTAAGTATTGGATGATCACCAAACTTTGTCTGTAGCATTCTTGGGTAGTATTTTATCAAGTGTGCTCATATTAATTTGATTGGCCCCTTTTAGGGGTCTCTAGGGCTAAAAATAGAAAAACCTTTAAACATCTTCTTCTACAGAACTAATGGATGGATGATCACCAACCCTTGTCTGTAGCATTTTTGGGTAGTCTTTTATCAAGTTTGCTCATATGAATTTCATTGGCCCCTTTTAGGGGCCGCTATAGCTAAAATAGAAATACCTGTAAACGTCTGTTTCTATAGAACTGATTGATGGATGATCACCAAACTTTGTCTGTAGCATTCGTTGGAAGTCTTTTATCAAATTTGCTCATATTAATTTGATTGACCCCTTTTAGGGGTCTCTAGGGCTGAAAATAGGAAAACATTTAGACATCTTCTTCTACAGAACTAATAGATGGATGATCACTAAACTTTGTCTGTAGCATTCTTGTGTAGTCTTTTATCAAGTTTGCTCATATTAATTTGATTGGCCCCTTTTAGGGGCCGCTATAGCTTAAGATAGAAATACCTTTAAACGTCTGTTTCTATAGAACTAATTGATGGATGATCACCAAACTTTGTCTGTAGCATTCTTACGTAGTCTTTTATCAAGTTTGCTCTTATTTATTTGATTGGCCCCTTTAAGGGATCTCTAAAGCTAAAAATAGAAATACATTTAAATGTCTTCTTCTAAAGCACTAATTGGTGGATGATCACAAAACTTTGTCTGTAGCATTCTTAGGTAGTCTTTTATCAAGTTTGCTCATATTAATTTGAATGGCTCCTTTAAGGGGTCTCTATGGCTAAAAAAAGAAAAACCTTTAGACATCTTCTTCTACAGAACTAATTGGTGGATGATCAGCAAACTTTGTCTGTAGCATTCTAAGGTAGTCTTTTATCAAGTTTGCTCATATTAATTTGATTGGCCCCTTTTAGGGGCTGCTTAAGCTAAAAATAGAAAAAAACATTTCAACATCTCCTTCTACAGAACTAATAGATGTATGATCACTAAACTTTGTCTGTAGCATTCTTGGGTAGTCTTTTATCACGTTTGCTCATATTAATTTGATTGGCCCCTTTTAGGGGCCGCTATAGCTAAAAATAGAAATACCTTTAAACGTCTGTTTCTATAGAACTAAATGATGGATGATCACCAAACTTTGTCTGTAGCATTCTTATGTAATCTGTTATCAAGTTTGCTCATATTTATTTGATTGGCCCCTTTAAGGGATCTCTTAAGCTTAAAATAGAAAAACCTTTAAATGTCTTCTTCTACAGCACTAATTGGTGGATGATCACCAAACTTTGTCTGTAGCATTCTTAGGTAGTCTTTTATCAAGTTTGCTCATATTAATTTGAATGGCCCCATTTAGGGGTCTCTAGGGCTAAAAATAGAAACACCTTTAGACATCTTCTTCTACAGAACTAATTGGTGGATGATCAGCAAACTTTGTCTGTAGCATTCTTAGGTAGTCTTTTATCAAGTTTGCTCATATTAATTTGATTGGCCCCTTTTAGGGGCTGCTTAAATAAGCTAAAAATAGAAAAATCTTTTAACATCTCATTCTACAGAACTAATAGATGGATGATCACTAAACTTTGTCGGTAGCATTCTTGGGTAGTCTTTCATCAAGTTTGCTCATATTTATTTGATTGGCCCCTTTAAGGGATCTCTAAAGCTAAAAATAGAAATACCTTTAAATGTCTTCTTCTACAGCACTAATTGGTGGATGATCACCAAACTTTGTCTGTAGCATTCTTAGGTAGTCTTTTATCAAGTTTGCTCATATTAATTTGAATGACCCCTTTAAGGGGCCGTTAAAGCTAAATATAGAAAAACCTTTGAACATCATCTCCTACTGAAATATTTGATGGATGATCACCAAACTTTGTCTGTAGCATTCTTAGGTAGTCTTATAACAAGTTTGCTCATTAGTCATATTAATTTGATTTACCCTGTTTAAGCTAAAGCTTTAATTCTCCAGGTCAGGGCATATCTTCAAATTATAGTTTAAAGATATTCTATGCTCAAATGTAATATTGAAAAATATTGTCAATGGATACACAGTCTTTTTATAAATATAAAATAAACGTGTTTTGACTTCACACAAAGAAGATATGTTATGTTTTAAACTCGTCACAATATAAATATAATGATTATAAGTGTCATTTAAAAATCTTTTCCAAAAGAGGTTCAATTGCTTGGAGAAAGTTTTAATGTCATGACCTGTTTATGATACAGCACTAGAAATCGGCCTTCATATTGCATCATTGTAAGGTCAGATGTAGGTCATTAACCAGGAAAGAAATAGGCCTAAGGAAACATTAAATTTGTTTCTCCTGTACCTGACTAACAAAGATGAGTTTGTATGCTCAATTTTGTTATTGAATTTTGTTAAAAAATTGCATTTTTTTCATTTTTTTCTTGAATTGGATTTTAACTTAGAAAAAGCACATTTCAATAAATTTTGGGACAGACTGTTGAACCTGAGTTTCATTTGCATAATTGAATTTTGGTATCAGTGGAACTGTTTTTGATATTTTTGAAACCATTGCACATACTTTCTTGTTTTTGATGTACAGAGACTTGAAATTTGGAATGATGTACAGAAACTTGAAATTTGGACCAGGAATGCAATTTCTGAGGTGAATCGAATTAAGATATCAACTGACTACTTTTGATATTATTATTTGATATTGTTTGTCCTAGTTTGTCGTTTTTTGATGTACCTGCTGGAAATTTGGACAAGGGGTTTAATTTCTAATCCTGAATTAAATTTTGATATGATCTGGCTTACTTTTGATATATTTGATATCGCTTTACCTACTTTTTTTGTCTTTTATGTACAGGCTTGAAATTTGAACCAGGGGTGTAATTTGTGTAATTTTTAATGTTGAATTCAATTTTGATACCAGCTGACCTACTTTAGGTATTATTGACACCATTTGACCTACTTTCTTGTATTTTGACATTTGTAAATTCTGATGCCGAATGAATTTGGATACCAACTGACCTACTTTTGATATTTTTGATATAATTTGACCTTAATTCTTGTGTTTTTTGACATACATACTTAAAATTTGGACTAGAGTTGTAATTTCTGATGCTGAATTGAATTTTGATATCAACTGGCCTACTTTTCATATTTTTTACAATGTTTGATCTATTGTCTTTTTTTGAGGTACAGTTATGTTACCATACAGAATGTATTAAAAATTTGTTGTCCTCAAACATCTACACCTTACATGTTTTGCATGTGACATTTTGTGTTTTCGTTCAAAAAAGTTATAGAAAAATTGTTTAGTCAAAATTAATCCTGCTCCAGTGGTCATTTATTCTGCATTTATTCTACATAGTCTCATAGGAACACACTTGCAACATACATATTTTTAACAAAGCTTTTCCAAAATATTAGGGCAAAATATTTCAATTTTTATTGTGAATAATGAAATGATGGGTTAGATGAGTGATCTAGGGCCATCTTAGTGACCCTTTTGTTATTATGAAGAAAAAAAGCTAAAACAATCAGTGTTGTGAAAGTATATTACTAGAGGGGCAAGTTAAAGTTGAGCTGAACTTGCCGAAAGAGCTGGACTTGCCTTTCAGCAAATTCTTTTAAAAAATAATTTCCAACACTGTTAAGCCGTTGTTTCTGGTGAGCGACTCAGTGCCATAATCTCTTGTATTTATTTGTGCATTGAATTATCAATGTTGTCTTTTTCATTCAGAGTTTAAATTCAAATGGCTTGAATGGTTTGATAAGAGTGATAATTTAAAATGAAATATCAAATGGTATTGACAATTACACGCACAGCGTACAATTACTTGATTCAAATGAATTATGATTAAATAAACAAAATACAAATATACTTCAGACCAAATCTTCATTGAAGAACTTCAGAACAAGAATGTCTATGTCAATGATTCGGTCGTTTTAAGATGTAAACTCAACACTCCAGTGGGTGATAATGTTGAGTGGAGAAAAGATAGCAAGCTGATCAAAATTACAGACAATATGGTTTTCATGAGCAACCATTGCACCCACTGGTTAGCGATAACTCAAGCATCATTGGAAGACACGGGAACTTATTCGTGTGTATTTGGCCATATTTCAACATCTGCTGATCTAACTGTTATAGGTACCAAATTATAAACAAGTCACCAATAACACTACTTGTGTTAATGTTTTATCAGAATGTTTGATGGTATTCGGCCATGATTATGCATGAAATACTGGAAAGTAATTTAGAAAGACGTTCTTTCCGTAATGCGATCGGTAATTACGTACATGTAGCCATTTTTACTGATGACATAAAATATCCCTAACTTAGTCTGTTTACCTTTCAGTTATATTTCCCAAAATAAATGCATAAAAAATACACTGTATTGTATTGTTTGGGGCGTTTCAAAAGGTTATGTCGTACACGAAGATTATGTACAGGAATTTCTTTAAAGTGCTGTAACTGATCACGATTTTTCAATAATGCCGCCGATTTGGAACATAGCCATTCAGTTATTTGAGTAAATAGGTAAATCCAAGTAAATACGGACATATTCTAAATGACGTTCCTTAGAGGCTTTCTGATAGGCAGAATAGTTAAGTTATCTGTTATTCGTTGATGTTACTATTTGTAAAATATATTCCTCAGTCATTATCGTTTTAAATCAATGGGTTTCTGGACCAAAACTTTGCGGTATTAATATTTCTATGCTCCATGTAGAAACTGTTAAATACGGATACAGTTCTGAAAATTCGGACAGGTGGTACGGACATATTACTTAGCGAATATACAGGTCGTTAAAAAAAACATTATAAAATGTGTGCATTTACTACAATATTGTAACTCAAATATTTACATCTAGTATAAATATTCCAATTAATTTGTTCGTTAAGTACCATTATAACTATAAGCAAGTAATACATATATGCCTATTAGACTTTAATATCAAATACACAAATATCGAAATTATCTGTACAAAATAAAACTCGCAGTCAAAAAGGTTTTCAGTGTTTGGTATTAAAACCTCTTTGGAAGTTGATTTTTTTAGATAAATGTGTTCATAATTCAATCAGGATTAATCTTCATGCAAAATTCAGTTATTTTTTCAGTTTTATATGTCTTTGACAGTACACTGCTTCTTTTTGCCTTTTTCCTTTTTGACATTTTTTTTCTATCAATGCCTTTTTCTTCTCCAAAACCTCTATGCTGGTAACTGGTAAGCAATTTTTAGCTTGTCGGCTTACACCGACGCTTTATATATACCATATGACATCATCACTGTTAGATATATTCGAAAAACGAATAGAAAAGATGCGACATAATCTACAACCGCAACAATTGAATTTCCATATCATCCGGTGGCCTCCATAGCAACCACTACTTTTCCATAGCAACCGTTGATTTTCATAGAAATTACTGACCGTCTACAGCAAACATCGGCTTCCTTAACATAGAGTGATTTCCCATGGCATTAAGTGACTTCCATTGCAGTAATAGGCTTTCCAAAGCAATCTGTAAACATTTAAATGATCCGCTTGCTTTACTTTGTATAAACAAAAAGACGGTTTTCATCGTGAAATACAATTATCTCGCTGCAATTAATGGGCAATAAACTGGTCATCCCATGTAGCGTAACATGTTACGTAACTCATGACCTGTGACTATTAATGTTTTACATGAGTTATTTTTGAAGCCAATCATACCTTATATTTATTTATTTTGTAATCCAATCAAAATGTCACTTGAAGGATACTTTCTTTATTCATTGGTAATTAGAAAATTAAAAACCGCGTAAACCACACCCAGCTCCACTATATTGCATAATGATGTTTTTTCATGAATGTTACCAACATGATATTTTGCCATCAACGTCAATGTTCAAGAATCATATTGGTGTTTATTCTCTAGACAATATTCGGTATCTCTATTAAGTACAAAATGCACACTGTGTAAACGCGCGATTTAGAATGTATTTTTGAATCGAAAACGTTCTAGAATGATTTGATTCAGTTACGTTTGATATCCTTTACAGTTTATTAGATAAAGATCGGGTGTAAGAGGACTTACTTATTTGGAACTAAAATAATTATGGTGCGGGGGTTCTTTAGGGTGAGGGAGTGGTTCTTTGTCATAATAATATTATTTTACATTCTGTGTCATAGTTTTCTGTATTTAGTAATTACTCCGTTTACTTATAATAATTATTTATGTCCACATTTTTTAACCCTTCGATTAATTAAATCAGAAACTCAGTCCATTTTTCCGTTTTTAATATACAGTTTTTCCCAACAATTCCAACAGGTTGAAAACAGCAATATATGTACATTAAATTGCAACCTAGAAAACTGCGGTGCCCAAGCTTTAAACTGACACAACTACATGTAAAGTGTCTGTCTGTCTATCGTCTAAATAGTTCTATATAAAAAGCCTTTTTCTTTTTTATTATAAGAATAATTGTTACAAAGGATTCGATAATGAACCGATGAAAAAATGACCATTAAACAAGAAAATATTAACCAATGAAAAAACATTTGATCAATTATGAAATTATCGATTTGACCAGTCAAAATGGTTCGATTTAGACTGATAAACACGCTAGATGTCAACAGCCAGCGGCATGTTTATTCCTTTCGTTAAGTCAAACAGATAATCAGATTAGAAACTTTCAAATAAATGTCTTGGATAAAATCCATTATAATATGCATGTTGTCATACATTTGACGTAAATAAATATAAATATGTCAGATCCGTTAAATGTAATAAACATGTAAGGGGTCTGGCTAATTGATAATTTTTATATTTCTGAATTTTAATTATTAAAAAAATAACTTTTTATAATATAAACATAAAAATATTATAATTTTACGAAAAGTATTTCGAAAGAATCAAATGAAAAAATACAACATAAAATCATGCACAGTGACATTTAAAAAAACAAGCGGTTTATCAGATAAATTTAAAGAAATAGATACATTGATATTTAAAGTAAATGATAATCTTAAGTACATTTATTAACCTCACTGGTTGAACATCTATTTGTGAAATTTTTATACTGCAAAAGAGCTAGGGTCGTCGAGATCGTTACATTTTTTGGAACTAAATAGTAATAATGTCTGTGGCTGTGATTCAAACATATGACATTGAACTTCAAAAGGGTTTACATAAGCGAAGTTCTTCCATAATATGTATGCAAATCATTTTACATGCAACACTGCATAATAGCGTTATCATTGACTATCAATGTTTAAGACAGGTATATAAAACATCACTTCCGGTTAAAGGTCGCACTGAAACAACGGGTGGTAACTCTCACATGTGTGTAGAGCAATTACCGATAACTAATACGTGCAGATCATGAGTAATGAATTTACTTTAATTTGCTCTACATTTTTAGGCATTGAATAAAAATATGACTATGAAGGCCACTCGTCTGTAAAAAATATTTACATAATAAAAGGTATTCATGTATTATTTAAATAGATAAATCGGACAAATGCTTGCTATTTACAAAATGTTATTTAAAATCTAGCTATCAATATACATGTATATGCGTTTATTATACATGCTATTGATCTTTTAGAATGTAATTATCTGATATGGCGATATAGAATTCAATTAAATTCTTTCAAATTTATTTTATCCAACAGATGAAGCATTGAGTGTGGTCGTTGATTTGCCTGTCAAGATTGAGGTCATTGAGAAAAGAAACATTGATATAGAATGTAAGGTGAACCTGCTAACGAGTAGACCTGTCTGGCGACACAAAGAGAAACTTCTACAATCATCTGGTAGACATTTTATGCTAGCAAAGGGAACTACACATAAATTGATGATCACGAATGTAACATTAGGCGACGAGGGTGAATATATAGTTGACTTTGGGAATGTCTCATCTAAAACAACAGTTCAAATACAAGGTAAAATGAACATATTTGGAAGTTTTTTTCGGTTGGGAAATATTGATACTAATTGTGAGTTGGTTTACATTTCGACCTTTTGTAAGTCTCTTTTCACAACATGAGTTTATTCATTTGGTTTTGATCAAGACTGGTCAATATAAAAAGCAAACAATGCTATCAATTTCATACCGAACTGCCAGATGCCATATCATTGGTGATTTTTTTTTCTTAAATTAATTTTAGGGGAGACAAACCATATTCATAGAAAACAGATAACACACGAATTGTACAGAAATTGGATGAGAGGAGCTTTAGCGTTAAAATATTTGAAAATAGGTTTAGAGGGTTTTTCCGACAAGGCTGTTACCAAACAACATGATGATCTAATGAAAAGACTTGGAAACACATGCAACACTTGTACAGAGAGAAGTCTTCTCCCACATAAAAAAGATCAATGCCCACGGCAAGGAAAACATCAATGTTTATGTGTTAACATTCGGAAAAGAAAGTCAAGACAAATGTGTCCAAATGGGGGATTTTGTGGCATCGTTTATACAGAAATAATTTGTAAACATCGCTTTCAAGATCCATCATTCACAAACACAGATGCCCAGAAATGGAGCAGTGATCCATGGAGTGTTGCTACATGCTTTATAAATACTACCGGCTACAAAGGCAAGCAATCAGCTAAAGATGTCGACTGCTCTGGTTTACTTAGTATGTGTATAAACAACATTTATATAGAAATGATGCTTGGAGAAGTTATCATCGATGGGAAAATAGATGCGTTTGCACAGGTAAACATTTTCACCATAGTAATCACCTATTGATGGATGTATCTCAATTAAACATTCTTTGATATTTAGCCTTTATAGTGCAATTCTAGAACAGCCTTTTCCAATTGGCTTTAAAGTTGCTTAATTTATAAATGGAGTGTTTAAGCAACAAATTAAAATGAGACTTTAAATATTGAAGTTTTATTTTTATAGGCACGGGAAGCGCGGAATGATATTCTTCACAATCCAAACTATGAACTATCTGAAAATCAACTAATCAAGTTTATCAAAATGTTCAAAGAAGTACTAGAAATCAAGGACAAACATGGCAATACACCTCTGAAAGGGGAGCCAGGCGTTGCAAATGCCTTAGATTTACTAGATATGGTAACTATACTTTGACAGTATTTATAAAGACAAAATAAGCCGAATTGGGATACATTATATTGGTTCTTTATGTAATAAATCGTCTCCTTTCTAAATGTATTAATTAAGAATATATTGATCAATTTTGTAATATTTGTTGCAAAATATACTTTAGCAATTTCTAAATTCTTAACAACTTGTTATTTTGCAATACATGTATAATTTGTAATAGTGCGTTCAGGTCCTTTTGCATAATTGTGAAACACATTTATTGACTATAATAGTGAGAACATTATTGTCTATAATAGTAAGTACAATAACTTTATCTGTTGTAACATTGTAGTGGATCAATCTGTATCATCTTGCAAACGTGAGTTCGTTAATTCTAGGCTTTTCACACATATACACAGTCAAATATTTGAGTATTAACAAGATTGCAACAATACAGAATGTAAAAAATTATCAACAAAGCCTATTACATGAAAATAATTCGGGAGTTTGTTGTAAAAAAAATTAACCTGGATAAACGTAAGTTCATTTTGACCTTCTCTTGTAGTACATACTTTGATGTCAAGTGATACTAAAGGTCCTTCCATTCTTATGAAATAAAATGGGCCTAATATGCATTCAGACATGTGTGTATTGTATGAAAAAGACAAATTCGTCAAATGAGTTTACGGACCGGAGTCCTATCATAAATTTCTTACAGGTGCAACAAAATCAGATTGAGATTAACCTTGAACATGAGATGAGAGAGCTGAGAGAGCATGGGATGTCTAGATTAGAAGAGAAATACCAAACAGCACAAAAACAGGCAAGTGTTATAGCTAATGCATTTGAGTATTGTTATAACAAGTTTTCAAGACCGAGTAAGGCAATATTAACGTAAGGCAATATTGATTTCCAAATCTAATACAATGGATAATAAGTTCAAAAGGTATTTTAAAAATACTGCGATTCTAAAGTTGCTAGTCTTTTTATTGTATACGAATCATTACTGAGAAAGAGATGTTAAAACATATGCCTTTTCCCTGTCATTGTTACATGTCTCTCTGTTAACCATCATGCACGCTTGAAAATATATCCTCGTTTAGATTCCTTGAACATTACATTCGTTACTATTGGAAAAGAGTACAATTTTGAATGACATAAAAGTGTTATCACGTACATATACTTTGTGGTCAGTTCTTACCTACTGACTTCTATCTTAGGTAATCAAATGTAGTATTTAGACGATGGTATCCGAACTATTCCAGTGTTCTGTTAGTATTATATTGGGTTTTAGAAAATAAGGAATTAAATGATATTACCAAAATAGATATAATTAAATTTTAGTTCCTTCTTCGTTATGTTTATGCACAATAAGCGAATGGTTCGAATAATTTATATGATGCAACACTTTATAAACTTTTTTCTTCAGTATGAATTGAAACTTCAATTGATAGAGCAACAGATAAAAGGTTTGTCCTTGAATCTTAATTTGATAAAATAAGAGCTTATCCTTATACGAAAATTCTACCAGGTCATTAGATCATGATTTAAAATCAAACATAAGTATTATCGAGATACGTAACAGTGTAGTTCAAAAATCCTGTATCCGTTTGAAAAGAATTACATTTATTCCCTTAAATTGCACACATTCATAAATTGGTTCCTTTTTATAAAAGAACGGTTGGATTTGACAAACAGTATTATAATGCATAATTGGCATAAAGTTTATAACATATGTTATACTGATTACTCGTACAAAATATATAAATAGCTACAAAGAGAAGAAGAGTTAAAAAAAAATGCAGCTACAATGAGAATCAGATTTTGAGATGAAAATAATGTTTGAATAGACATTTATCAGGAAATAGCTGTTTGAGGATTTGACACTATGATAAAGTTATATAAATGAGGTAATGCAAGAAACATTTTCTTTATTCAATCAAAAGAAGATCAGATTTCTAAAAAAGTATTGCTTGTAAAAGAATAATCAAAAAATATTTATAGTAATTTAATCTATAATAGAAAACATTCCAGAGTTTGCAGACTTTTTCTTTTAAGAAGCTTGTAACTATGAACAGAAACAGTGTTGTAGTTGTTTTAAAAGTAAAAACACACAAGTGTCGGTCTTTCGAAATTATCTTGCAAAATGTTTGGTCTAAAGATGTATTTTTCCCATTCATATACATGCCGAATAACTTAAAAATAGGATACGCATATACTCTGTTTAGCATTATTGAATATCATTTACATAAATTTCCGTAATTGTTCAAGTTGTGTTTTTATTTACAGATAAAGAAAATGAGCTTGGGTTTATGCTTAATCTTAGATCTGCAGGAAAACAAAAAAATCTTAAAGGTACTAAATGAAAAAAAATAATTGAAAATTTACAACTGTTTTCAATAAAGACATGTTAACATTGAACAGAAGACAAAAGGAAAACAGATAAAGAACATAATTGTTATTTTATACATGTACTTGTTTGAAGACTAAAATGAGAATTTAAGTTGAACTAGCTATTTTCGAAATATATCAATAATTCACAGTCAAAATGCCAGTTTTCTAAACTTTCCTTGTTGTTCTTGCAATAAAACTGCGCACGTAAGGTGAATTGTAACGTAGATGGAAACATGCTTTTACATGTATAATAACGCAAGCATGTACTTTGTTTTTAATACACATGACTCATGGCGCCATGTATAACGGATATGAACAGGAAAGCCTGACGAAACCTGTGTTACATTTATAAAAAATAGAATGAAACGCAAATGAAACTTATTTAAGACTAGCGCTTATACACAATTTGTGAGTCAATAACACCTGCATATTTTGATACACGTTCAACCGTGCATTTGATTCTCTAATATGATTTCTTTTTAGAGGACTTCTTGATTGATCTACAGATAAAAGTTATTGCTAAGAATGGTGAAAAAAATGCTGAAGGGAATCAGCGAGTTTATGTAGTAATGAAAGACTATATTCTCAATAACGATGATATAACTGGTTCGCCTTTTTATGAAGGTTCAACTGATACACCAGTCTATCACCTCGTAGGTTTCATCAAAACCATAAAGAATTGCCGTATCGTTAATATTTCTCCCACTGACCAATCGTCAACAGACATACAAATCAACTGCACCAGTTCGAAAGCCATGGAAGATTTTCTTAAGTCCATCACCAGTAACGAATTTCAACAAGAACTGTTTGAGCTTAGACGATGGCTACAAGTGCAATATGGCATTGAATCCCATGACATAATTGCCAGTTGCTCATCAAATGGCATAGAGAAAGCAAAACAACGTCTGCGTAAGTAAAACATGAATAATAATGACATATGATATTTTTTTATTTAACAGTGTATACTGCTCCAGTCGGTGCATTTGTTATCAGTACATATTAAAGGTATTAATTGACTGATTAAATCAAAATTAGTTTAAAATATTTTGCTCTTTATCGTTAAGATATCAAAAGACTATTGAAAAATTTAAAACGTTGTTATTTTTTCTTCTGTTAACACAAAAAAATGTACGTAAATCTACTGTCTTCAGATTTTACTGACGTAACCAGGACTATGACTTGTGCCGAGCATCAAAATACACAATGTACTCTCTATTGTCCTGACCATGACACGTTTTTATGTACAGCATGCAGGGAATCAAGACATGGGTAATCATACAATCAGTTATTTATAGTGGTTAATATGGTACAAAAGGTATCATATTAAACAAACGAATTAACAATGACTGTAAACTTATCTATCAAAATCATTTAAGTTGGATTTCTCTTAAATTACTTGAAAAAAAAATAGAAAAAAGTAAAATTTGACTAAAAATAATCATTATTTTGATACCTTTAATTGAAAATATTTCTAGCTGCCATAAAGGATCCTTGTATCTCAGAAATTTATTATTGAGACATATCTAATAAAACATGACTAATGAAAACAAAAATGTCAGCAATAGTTAAACCTCTTTCATACGACAAAACAACTTTAATTGATCCGATATTTTGATTCCTCATTTTAGCATATTGAAATAATCTAAATTTATTTGGTTAGTAAGACGAATGAAACATAATATAGTCATCACCTTTGATAACTATTCGATTGTTGGCAGAATAATAAGACTTTTTGTAAACTTACATTTGGTATACACTGAGATTCAGGTACAGTGAGCGACTAAATGATTTCGAATTACCGGAGTTGTTTTATTCAGAAGGTGGTGTGGTTTGATCCTTGGCGCTGCATTGAAGATTGTAACATCCGAGGTTAGCCAAAATTATCCGTTTCTGTTTTGGTGCAATATGACCTAAACTGTGTTGACCAGTACGCCGTAAACCAAAAATAAAACATTTTCAAATCGACAAATTTCAGCACTTTAATAGTTTCTTTTATTTATTTAAGAGTTAACAGAGCAATCCGTGAATTCATTTATATCTGAAATTTTGCCTGTTATTTTTTTAGCCGCTAAATTTTCTTTGATAAGGCACTTTTCTTATATGAATTAAGAATAATTATTTATGATCAAATTTGAATCGGAATCTTTTATCTTAATTCGTATTATCAGCTATAAGATCTATTTGAACATAATAATAATGATAATTGTTTCAAATTTGTTTTTTTTTTTTTTTCTTGAGAATGTACAATTTATTGCTCATAAATAGAATATTTGGGATGAGTGTTGGTTTAAAATGAAATTTTTTGAAAGAGTTAAAAAACAACATAATATGGGAGCCTCTGGCGAGCATAATATTGTTTTATTCAACGAGTTCAATAAATTTAGTACTGAATCTACACGAATATAATATTATATTTGTCACATACATAAAATAAGAAAGGTAAACAGTTAAAAAGAGACATTTTCATTGACGCGCCTATAGTGTAACGCTAACATTAGCGCGCTTTATATGAACTGAACATTTATGTCAACAATTTATACCAAATAAGTAACATCCAAATAATCATAAGTTTAACTTATCAATGTCAAACAAAAGTGTTAAGACAATACGAAACTTATCAGTGCTTTTATATTATGCATTTAGACTGCGTAATTAATTTATATCTTAAACGTCTTTGTTTGTTGCTAAATTTCATTTCGCAACTACATGTTTTCTTTAAAAAAAAATGGCTAAAGTGCTGCTATGACAATATGTCCCTTTTTAATTTTAACCATGAAATATGGTGCTATATCAGTCAAGTATATTTTATATTTGTTGAAAATAAATATGAAATATAAAAATGAAAGTGGGCGGTGTCTAAACTCATATTTTTTAAGGGAAATATTTTAAGAAAATAAATCCGAACACCAATATCTTTAAATTACTCATTACCGCTGTACAGACGTTTAAAGAGTTGTTTAGGTGACGCCTCAATATCGCGTGCAAAATCAGTCAATACAAAATATTACTGCGCGCTACAGTTGCAGTTGCGTAGCGTAAGGGGTTTTACCACTTTCTTTGATAATAAAATGAAATAAAAAGTTTCATTTTTCGTTAAAATACCACATATTTTTACTCGCCGTCCTGGCTCGTGAAAAAATGTGTCATTTTAACATGTTTCTTGAAAATATATCAAACGAAAAATATCCTCTTAGTACTTTATACAACTCTCATGTATATTATGTTGTGTAATATTATCCTAACAAGCTGCCATGACAATATGCTATTGTGTTTATATATATTTTATGTATTCACTTGTATGGGCCGTTGGCCTGAATGCAAATTTGACATAAACTTATATTTCAACGCTAAATATTGTTTGATTTTATTAACCTGTCAATTCCATACTGATAATACGGTCAATGTTCAGAATATTTAATATCCGATAAATGTTCGCAAGTTCCGTGAGATATAGGCAGTAAGATGTGATTAGGGCATTTATTAAATGCCATAAAATGCATAGCAAGTAAAAAACGTTTTCACAAGAACATAACTGGGAGGAAAAACCGCCCGTCTCAATACGAACAGATAAATTTGACAATATTCAAACAAAATAAATTGTTTTGAACACATCCTCATATGAGCCGCGTCATTACAAAACCAACATAATGGGTTTGCGACCAGCATGGATCCAGACCAGCCTGCGCAGATCAGGATCCATGCTGTTCGCTATCAGTTTCTCTACTTGTAATAGGGTTTGTAAGCGAACAGCATGGATCCTGATCAGAATGCTCGGATGCGCAGGCTGGTCTGGATCCATGATGTTCGCAAACGCACTAAGTTGGTGTTGTCGTGACGCGGCTCTTATGTTGATCAGAAAAAATCTTGTAAAGTATCGGCTTCATTGTTAACATCTAATTTTGTAACCAATGTATGTAACAAAGGCGAAAGCTTCAAAATTGTTCTTCACTGTAGAAATTACATTGAAAATTAAATAAATTTAAATGAAACTTGACAATAACTTTAGAGGAGGAGGCGTTGGGAGGAGATGGTTTTTCAAAATTATTAGAAATTTTTTAGGGAGCGTTTCACGCACGCCAAGTAAACAAAGACTAATGGCTTGTTAATTTTGATTGGTTAATCAGACAACGTAATAAAACATGGTCTGTTGATTGGCTGAACAAATTCTACAAAAGTCTGTGTCTTAAGCCGTACTAAAGTCCGCAAAACAATATAAAATGAATGCACAAAGACATAAAAGCCTTATGTCACCATAAACTTCTATGAATTAATCTTGTTACTATGAATTAGTTACACTGACCGTTATAGCGAAATAGGGTAAACTAAGGGTATGTAATATCTAAATGCGCTAGTGTTGTAAGATCGAGACAGTGTATGTCCAGTTTTTTTTCTTATTCATAACTATTTTCAACATTTTTGAAGTTATGGTTAATATGTTTTTCAAGTTTTGGGTAAAAACGATTCTTCTTGTTAAACAATTAATATTCAAAATTCATTCGGATTAAAATAAATAAATGTCATTTCAGTGCCGTAAAATACAATACAAAGAGTGACAATTTAACGTATCTTAGTTGTTTCATATCAGTGTAAACAATTTTGCAAACGCTTGACAATTTTCATCATTAAAATGTACTAAAATATAACGAAAAATAACAAAACATAAAAAGAATGTCAAACGAAGGGATCGAACTTCGGACCTCTCATACGTTAGGTAATCACTTAACCGACTGTGCTATTGCGAATATTGCGAGAACCTACATTAAGCTATTTGGAGTTCTTCAAATGTTAGTTATATACTCCAGATAAATTCTCGTAAAATACACAGACAAACCCGGAGTGGGATAGAATATTTAAATGAGTACTATAATGTATTCATAATTGACAGGTTAATAAAGTCAGACAATATTTAATAGAGCGCAAATGACGTCACGTCAAAGTGTTACAATGTATTACACTAAACTAAGTGTAATATTGTTTGTATTAAATAGAGGATTTTTGTTAATTGCAGTGTAAGATCGGAATATATTTCACCGAGTGAGCACAAAAAGGTATATTTCACGAGTGGCGCAGCCTCGAGTGAAATATGAACTTTTGGTGTTCACAAGGTGAAATATATTTCGATCTTACACTAAACTTAACAACTTTTCTAAATAAAAACGCGCCAATTTACTACGTCACGTAATAAGGTTGGTTTCCAGTACTGTGCACGCTGTTTTTTCACTGAAACAACTTAAAGGGACTTAAATTCAAAACAGTTAAATTATCAAATTGATAATTTCACTGTTTTAACCCATTACTTCATGAGCATTTTGTGAAAAATGGTTGTTTTCATTGAAATGTCTCCCGTTACAAGTTCAAATTGATATGATACTATAAACACTGTTTCAACACTAATCAAACTTGGCACAAATGTTAACTGGACAATTGCCCTTGAAACAACATGCTCAGGTTTAAATTTTCTGTTTCCATGGCAACGAGGGGAAATCTCAAAATTGCCAAAAATCACAATTTTGCGTTGATTTTTTCCATCAAAAATGATTTCAAAGTGCTGCAACTTCTCAATGGATTGAGATAGAGTAAAATGCTTTTCAGCGTTAGTTACACGTTACCTTATGATCAATTTAGGGTCATATATATCCTCTCACAAGTCCAAAAATTTTTTTTTGGTTGGGGGGCCGCGCCGAAAAAGTGGTCACTTTTTTAAACAACATTTCTCAAACAAAAACAAGTGTTTGGGGCCTAAATAAGGCATTTTTTACCATTTGAGACAACAAAAAAGGGGGGTGGGGTGAAAAAGGCGTTAAAAGGCGTGTATATTGCGTAATGGGTTAAACAGTGAAATTATCAATTTTATATCACTGATATATTTCTATAAACCACCGAAAAGCATGAATTGTAATGAATTGCTTTATTACATGTTTTTCGGTTGTTTATAGAAATATATCATTTATTCAGTGAAATATTGAAAAGAGTGAAATGATCATTTTCAAATTGATAATTTCAATGCTATGAATTTAAGCCCCATACGATGTTTCAGTGAAATACCAGCGTGCACAGTACTAAAAACCACTACTAAATGACATGACGTCGTAAATGACGTCATGTTGCATTATTATTTGGCGCGCTTTACATTAAGTATTAGATTAAAATGTCTTTTCCAAACATTTCTTTGCATATAACAAAAAAAATTGTTTAGATTAGGGCAAGACCGAAATATATTTGAGTTGATAGAGTAATCACCAAAAGCCACTCATGAAATATGAACTTTTAGTGGTAACGAACTAAACAAATATCTTCTATTTATTTCATTTATGAGCCGCAGTTTGTGTGATAATAAATTGTAATATAGACATTGCGTTTCTTTTATTAACTTGTAATTGCTGGTATATGTTTTGCGATAATACATACTTTTTTCTTGAAACTGATCATAGTCATTATATTATGTAAACATGCTAACGTTAATTGCATGTTAATCATTATTGAATCAGTAATCAAAAAGGGCCCTTCTATAAAAGGGCTGATAACTCTTACAGCTTATAAAAGTGACGACCATTCCCTGAACATGATGACTATTTCGCACATCGTTTTGGGTCAACGGATTTCTTAGGGGCCAATACATGTTTGCTGCTTAAGGCCTGATGATGTCCAAAATGACCTGAGGACCTAAGACAAGTTGTGTCTTTTATCGCCAAATGGCGGGACAGAATTGCAATAACCGCTTTCTTTCTAACAAACTTGAGTATATGTATTATTTCGGGCACATGTATACACATGTACCTTCAAGAATGGTTCGCACTCTTAATGTTTAATAAACTTTGTTAAATATGCATTCTTATTGTAGAATAGAATGCACTTATTCCTTCCAGTAATGACGGATATATTATATAATAATGGACTGACTTACATAGACTTTATACTTCCATAGGCACCGATGCCGCTCAAGCGGAGAAATCATAGTAATATTATATTATAATAATTAGATATCATTAATAAATCAGGAAACAACAATGATATTCGATTGGTAATTTTAAGTTATCAATAGAAAACTTTAGTTGTAATGTCAGAATATATTTGAGGATATTCCCTTTTTTGTACAAATCTTAACATACACACCCTTTAAATGAATATAGTATTAATACGTTTAAACAACTAGTTATTGTTTATAGTTGATTTTATTTGAAGTTAACCCGTTGTTTGTAGGTAAGTAAGTAGCGCCTTTATATAACGAGGCTTTCACATTCGGTTTCCCGATCTTCCAAAAATACACAATTACAATGTTTCAACAGTTTACATATATACCATTTATACACAACATATATACACAATCGTTATATTGAAATATGAGCAATGTTATTAAATGTCTACAATTAAAGTAATATCATTTAAACCATTGTGAAAGACCATAGAAGTTTTTGCTAAATGCTAGATAATTGTATTGCTAGTGTTGGTCAATAATTTTGTCTGTGATATTTTTTGTATCAATAAAATGATGTTGTTTTTTTCTCTTTTTTTAAAGCACATGTCATGGAATACAACAGAGTACATCTGAAAGGCTTTATGATGAACAGAAGCGTCGTCTAGCCATCAAAAGTTTAAAAGGATCTTATAACGTTAGTATAGATAATACTTTAATTAATAGAGGCAACAATGATAAAGGTATGTGTTGTATCACTAGTATGTGTATGCTTCCTAATTGTGAAGTTCTGCTTGCTGATAGTTGGAATAAAAGACTGAAGAAATTGAATAGTTCGTACAAGATAATAAATCACTGTGATGTAACTGAAAAACCCTATTCTGTATGTTATATAGGCAACAATACAGCTGTTGCTAGTTTATGGCACAATACAATACAGTACGTGAATGTGTCAGGTGATATAAACCTAACACAATTAGTGACGCTAGATCATGAATGTTGCAGTTTTGCTTGTCACGGTGACACACTCTATATTAGCAGTGACGACGCAATTTACAAATATGACAAAAAATGTACCCAAAAGCAAGTTATCTATTATTTTCATGAAACTCGGACCAGGTTCAGCATAAACCCTATTGCTATAAGTGACAATAGTGAGCGAATCTACTTCAGTGCAAATTCAGGTCTAACTACAATAGATGCCAAGAGAAATCATATCAGTTCACAATTTGATGATTGTAACATACGTGATATATGTATTGCTGGTGAAGGAATTGTTCTTGTATTAGATGAAACAAACAATCTTCATCAGCTGATTATAATGGAAAAAAACCAGACTTAATAAAATGCCATTTGATATTTTAAACGGCATTCATGTGTTTCGACAAAAAGATAAGATGATTGTTGGCGGATTTTAGCCAAGCTACATGTTTACAAATGCGAATTTGCCCAGTTTTGTTAATAAAATTTTTTTTGGTAAACCCAAAAAATGAAAAAAAGCATCGCTAATTACTTTTGTTTAACAAATTTCGTTTGTAAGTGGCTTATTTCTTTCTCAGCATTCTTAATTTTGACTCCCCTTATTTTTTTCTTGAATGCATTTGTGATTACATGTATATATTACAAAACTTTTTCATAATAAAGGTTGAATAGGTACAAGTTCAATATTTGAAATATTTTAAAATCCTAATCGAGATAATTAGAAACAACAACTTTAAAATACAGAGGGCGACAATGCGATAGTGCGACAGTGCGATGGTGACAATACGACAGTGCGATGACGACAATGCGACAGTGCGATGACGACAATGCGACAGTGCGATGGCGACAATGCGATAACGCGATAGTACGATGACGACAGAGCGATAGTGTTATCGCACTGTCGCCATCGCACTGTCGCATTGTCGTCATCAAACTGTCGCATTGTCGTACTGTCGTCATCGCATTATCGCACTGTCGCCATCGCACTGTCGCACTGTCGTCATCGCGTTATCGCATTGTCGACTATCGCCTTCCTGGTGGACGGTTCTAAACATGCTGGCGAGTAAGCTGACGGTATAGAATATGGGATAGTTTTACTTTTTCAATATTTTTTTTTCTCTCGTTTTTTCTTTTTCCCTTTTTATTATTTCTTTTTGTTTTGTTTCTTTCTGTTTACTTAATAATGTTTTAAGACTGAAATCAATAAATTAATAATAAGAATCATTTATCATAAGATGCTGAATAAGCAGTTATACATGGCGGAAAATCAATAATTGTTGTGAACTTAAATATTACAACTGTTAATAGAAATTCAGCAATGAGTATGATCTTATGTTGACCATTAAAAAGATGCAAACAAATTAAATCAGTGCTTATAATTTGTATAAAAATTACAAAACAAATTATATTCATAGATCTCATCATGGTTTTATTGTTTCTAAAGATGTTATAATTATTATTTACTTACATGGTAAATAAAAAAATGGTAATTAGAAATTACGTTCAACACATAATTTTGTTCTATATAGTCTCAATATAAGTGGTACAAAAATTTTCACATTTAGATTACCTTACAGCAGATCCTACATAAGTTTAAACCTTCTGCATATTAATAGCCAACTGATCCGCTGTGACAAAAGTGAGACAAGATGTTTCAATGTTGAAAAACAACCACCTATTTCATTATATATTAATCCAGGAAATATTCTTACTGTTGTATGTTTGTTGTTTTCTTGTTGTTTGTTTTTTAAGGGAAATTTGACAAAATTCGAATTACCAACTACCTTGCGGTAGGTAGTGGGGCATTAAGAGATAAAAACCAACTACAGCTAGTAGGTAGTAGGTATTGAATATCAACTACCAACTATCCTATTCAATTGACGCTCTTTAGATTTTTATCAATGATTAAGATCGAGCATTTTTGGTGTTGTGTGAACATAGCGCTTTATATTTCTAAATGGAAGTAAATAATCTGATTAAATTAAAGAAAAGAAATATAAATTAATAGATTTACTAAATTCTGTGTCCTTTTGTTTTAATTACAAAGTGATTTTAGTCAACCCTTGAGAAACTGTATGAAACAGAGGAAAATTGTATTTTGCAGTGAAGTTTTTATTTATTTGCCAACTGTTTAGTAAAAAATTAGCTATATGTTTAAGCCTAATTTTCTTCTTAACTTTATGGATCAGCAGACTTAGACGTACGTGCTTTACGGTACACATGTAATATTAGAAGTCGCGACAGTTAACCCAATTCTCCGCATAAGCATTTTGAAAAATGGCTGTTTCAGATTGAATAACCCCCTGTTACACAAGTTCAAATTATGCTATGAAACTCTAATTCCGGTGTTCTACTCAGGTACCCGCTGGCCTAAAATATGCACGGAAGGCCACCTGAGATCCTCCTCCACCAGTATTAAAGCTGGAACGTCGCCATATGACCATATACCTGTGTTCGAGTGCGACCGTAAAACCCAATCAACAAATCAACTATGAAACTAGAAAAAAGCTTTAATTCTGATCAAAATTGGCCAAAATGTTTACTGAGCGAATATGCATTGTATCTTAATTCTCCTGTTGACCATGACAACGAAGGACATTTCAATAATACACTCTGTTCGTGTTATGTTTCCATCAAGCTGCTAAATTCCGATGTCGGCTGATAGAATGCAATTCTTTCAGCGTTTAGTTACACGTTACCCTTTAAGATCGACTGATGCCATTTGAGGCCTCTCACAACGTCCAATTTTTCTTGGAGTTTGAGGGCGGCAGTTCACCCTTCAAACCCCGTGCAGAAGAGGGTACCCCCCTCTCTGGCACCCCGAATATATCTGCATAACAGTGGCATGTTTTTAACTATTAGGCATCAAAAGGTCGAGTGAAAAGGCGTGATAAAACCGTCTTATATAGTTAAAAGGTAACAACATATATAAAAGAGCACCGCTCTAGGCGGAGAATTATATGCCCAGAAAAGTGCTTTTTTTAGTAAGGATTGAAGCATTTGTAAGACATTTACAATAAATTTATACATTAAATAAATAAAGTTTACCCCCTACAAACGCATCCTCCATAAATTTGGGAAATTTTTGGGCCAAAATGGAAACTTAAGTTATACTCTGGAAATGTTTTTCAGTTTTTGGGGGAAAATAGGCGACCCTTGAACTTTGACCTTGTTGACCGCCAACATCAATCAGGTGTCTTTCTATCCAATATATGGAGAAACATCCTAAGCTTGAAAAACTTGGGCGCAATTTAGAAATTTAGTTGGTGTTCTGGAAAAGGGGGTTTTTTCAGTTTTAAAGTAATAGTGACCTACTACCTACTAGCTGGTAGTTGGTTTTCTTAAATCCTCCCACTAACCTTTACCGGCAGGTAGTTTTAATTCAATTTTGCATGTTTCCCTTAAAAAAAACAACAACAACAAAAAATAAACAGTTAGAAAATTTTTCTGGATTAACTATTAATGGTAGGTGTGTTTTCAACATTGAAACCATCTTGTCCTCACTATGTCCACCGAGCGGAATCAGTTGGCTTAGTACAAATATGCTGACCATTAAAACTTATAGGTAAAGGCATCTGCTGTTAAGTTATTTAACTCTATTCAGTTATTTTATATATAAAATGATTGCTTAATTATTAATTTATTGGATTTGATTTAAAACATTATTAGTAATACAGAAAATAAACAAACAAAAAAAAATAAAAAGTTAAGAAAAAACAAGAAGAAAAAAATTATTGGGAGGGAAAAAAGTCAAACTTATCCCATATTCTAATACCGTCAGCTTATTCGCCAGCAGTTTAGAACCGTCCACCATGAAGGCGATAGTCGAAACAAATGCCGATAACGCGAGTGCGAGAACAGTGCGATGGCGGGACAGTACGTAATCGATGGACGAAAGGGAAAGAAAAAAGCGAAAAGGGGGCGGACAGTTCGGGGTTTTACGACCCAAAGCGCCCGTGCGAAAGGCGAAGTGCGATAACCCATCGCTCTGTTTGTCTCCCCTGCCCTCGCGTTATCGCAAATTTTCGCCTCCCCATGTCGTATTGGGGCGTTGTGCATTGTCCCTCATCGCACTGGGGGTATTGGGGGGTCCAAACGGGCCAAATGGGGCGGGACTTCGCTTGTGGGCCCCCGGTTTTTTAAAAGGGATAACCACGATGGGCCTAACGTTTCCCTTTTCTTAAAATGACGAGATAGTGAAAAAATTTTGGGTCTGCATTTATTCTTTAAAGGTTTTTTGGGGCCCGGGGAAATTATGAATCAAAAAGTTTTTTTTTTTATATTTTTAATTTCCCCAAGCGCCCAAAACCTTTATTTCTGGGAAAAATTTTTATTAATTTTTGGAAAAATTGTAATTAAATTTCCTATGGTAAAAATACGCATTTAATTTTATTTTTTTATTGATAAAGTAGAGTTATTTTAAATTAAATGGGTTTGGGGGTGTCGGTACTGTTTGAACCCCTTATGGGGCCCCTTTTATTATTATTTTTGGGTTGTATATGGGTTTTTAAAAGGGGTGTAATAAATGGCGCTGGGATTACCTTCGGCTTGGGCCCGGGTATTATTTTATAATATTTAAAAAACTGCCCGGAAAAGGCGAGTAGTTGGGGGCTTTCGCCCGGGATTACTTTTTTTGAAGTCACTCCGGGAGCTTGGAAAAAATTAAAAACATTACATTTTTTGCTTTTAAAATCTGATCTAAATTTCCCGAAAAGGGTTTTTTAACTTTTAAAAAGATTTTTAAAAGAAATTTTTTTTTTACATTTAATTTTTTTGG